AGCTGACTTATTTACTAAACCATTAGATGGTCTGAGATTTGAATTTCTTCAGACGACTATTGGTGTTTGTGTACCTCATTGATTCGATAATTTTGTTACATACTCGTTCTATGTCATTGTGTGAAATTGATTTATGCATATTTTCTTTATTTTATTTTAATTTTTATTGTCTTTACTTTTGGTTGAGTTGTCATTTTATTTTGTGTTGTGTTCCATGCATTCTGTTTTTAATTTCTACAAAAAAAAGGGAAACAATTTTTTTTTTTAACATATGATGTACTTGATTTTGTTTGTTGTGATCAAGTATGGGGATAATCGGTAAGCTGTATCATGGTTTCCATTATTGGCTTATGTTATTCATGGAGCACTTAGTATAGGAGTTTTCCTGTACCTTCTACACTGCACACACTATGATCTTGTTAGTGGGACTCTACAGCATGTGTGAGACTTGTGATGGCAATCACATGTTAGTAAGGTGACTTTGAACATAATTTGACTATATGTATTAGACCTAAACTCAAGTTTATCCCTGGTATTATCAAAAAATAAAAACAAAAATAAATTATTATACAAAAAGCTCAATATCTTATGTTTTTCTTAGAAGCCTATTTGAATAGGGTAATTAAGCCTGCAGGGTGTCTCATAACTTGGTGCTTATGGTCGATTGACTTGGGTTAACCGGCCTAAAGCTCACTATAGGGTCATTTTAGTCTTTTAATGAAGAAAAGCCTGCACTTAAGATGGAAAATAATAATGGGCTTCGTTTATTGAATGATATGACACAAATCATTTTGCTCATACTCAAGGGGAGAAATAGTGCTTTCATTTATAATGAGCTTTCCATTATAGGTCCTAATGTGCTTTACATGGTTTGCCTTTCATAAGTAGGGGAATAAATTTATTAGCAGTAATATTTCGCGTATCCTTTCTCACAAATTTAAGGTCTGGAGTCCTATTTTCAAAGGATTAGTGATACTTTACACATATGAGTCGCTTATACAATTTACTCAATGATTACTTGAATTAAGTGCGTGGAAAGGTCTACTGTTCATTGTTTATCTTTGTCTTGCCCTTGTCATTTTGTGACAAAAAGGGGGAGTAGATAATATGCTTTTGATGGAGTAGATATTTTTTCTTTTAACTAGATGTATATGTTTTTTATCTACTTGATGTATCTAAAACTTTTGATTTTGATTATATGATATATTTTCAGTTTTTGCTAGATTTAATTTTGATGTTTTAGTAGTATCATTATTTCGTTTTGGTAAGTTGGGTTGTATTGATACTACATCTTAATTTAGCATATGATATGAAATTGAACAGATGCATTATAAATCATTTTTTACATTATGAACTGCTTGAACTATTTTATATTTAATACTGTTTTACATACATTTTATATTGGGTGTTGAGTTGTCTATTTCAGGAAACAGTTGTTGATT